AAATTAAGTTTTTGAGAGAATAGAGCATCTGTTTTGAATGATTCAAAAACATTCAATTCGTAATGATGAGAAGACATGGTGATCAGTTTTTGGCAAAGATAGGCCCAGCCGTTCCAGAGAAAAGAATCTAAAAGTGTAAAATATTGCTGTTTCTGAGAGAACAAAGCATCAGATTCTAATGATTCAAAACACATTTTGCTTGTGAAGAAACAATTAGCTTTTGGGAAAGACTTTTTTTTTAATTTCAAAATTTAAGTTTTTTTTGAGAGAACAGAGCATCTGTTTTGAATGATTCAAAAAACATTCAATTCGTAATGATGAGAAGACGTGGTGATTTTTGGCAAAGATAGGCCCAGCCGTTCCAGAGAAAAGAAGCTAAAAGTGTAAAAAATTGCTGTTTCTGAAAGAACAAAGCATCAGATTCTAATGATTCAAAAAACATTTTACTTGTGAAGAAACAATTAGCTTTTGGAAAGGACTAATTTTTTTTTATTTCTAAATTTGAATTTTTTTTTAATTTTCCATTTTTTTAATATCGAAAATAAATGGGATTTTAATATTAATTTTAGCTAAAATTCTAAAGTCCACTTATATGCTTGATAAAAATTTATATAATTCTTAGAAATATGCGATAAGATCCTTTGAAATTAACTCCGCTTGATTAAGTTTTGTTTATTTAGTTTTCGTTTAATTTATTTCGTGTAAACATATATAATCGCCGTCGCCCAATTTATAAGCTTTTATTTTTTATCTATAAAATACGAATAATGAAAGTTACAGTATTTATATAAATTTATTTGAAGACATTTAAAATTTCTAGAATATTCCTACGGTACGGCGAGTTCCAGCAATTTGCCTTAAGGCTTAATTTGCCACTATTATTATGTATTATTATATAAAATCATTACAGTAACAAAGTTACACATTCAATAGTTTAACTTAATTAAAAATTATCTACGACGCGGATATAGACAGTCGAGACAAATAAATTACATCAAAATTAAAAATATCTTATATTACAAATGCATTTAGCACTTGAACTGTGAATGACACTTGACCACCTGCATCATAGTCCGGCGACACTCTAGTCTAGACCCTTACAAAAAATAGTTCGGATTACCACTGTTGGGAATCCTTAACATCTATAGCATAATATATAATTATCAACAAAAACCCTGTTGTATTATTATTATAAATGTAATTGATATAAATTTGTGCAAAGTTTTTAGACAAATACATGCCAAACTAAAAATAATGCTTAAATATTTAATGTGTATATTTTATTTTATAATAATAATTATATATGATATAACAAAATATGAAAAATCATAATTCATAGACAATATCTAACCTCTTGCTTACGTCACAAGTCCAATAAGCTAGCAGTGGAACGCGCGAGCTTCTCTAACTCGTCCTGCGAGAGCAACTGCAGTAGCACTTCATGCAAACACTACACGAAATCGTATTTCACCAGTAACAATGAATCTTAGTAATAATAAATATTTAAATCGCGAGATTCAATAAAGAGATGTGCCTAACGTATATTATTCCGAAGACAGCGTGGCGGTCGTTCTGTGCGCGCTTGGAGTTGCCGAGCGCATTGCACCAACAGCGCGCCCCCGCCAAGTGCATTCGCTGCTAGGGGTAGTCGCCCTACATTCGGAACACGACCTGTGACCTACATACGAGCGATGCACATCGTTACGATGAACCCCGATAAAAGCTATAAAAAGTCCCCATGCTCGGGACGGAGACCGCGTGATGCAAATGACAACACATCGTTATTTAAGGGGCACAACTAGTGTGAAATTTTCAAAAAATCGAATTTTCAATTTTTTCATATTTCGATAGGTTATGCCTTTAAAAACAACATACCAAAATTTTAAATCGATATCTTCAATAGTTTTTAAGTTACAGCCATTTAAAGTGTATATATATAGTATATAGTATAACGATCATTTTATCTTTAAACGCGTTTTTCTCGAAACAGCATTTTTCAAATTTGCTGCAGTGATTACTCAAAAACAAATGATCCGATCACTATCAAATTTTTTGTACATGTTCTAGATATAGTTCTCCGTAAAATGAACTATCAATTTTTTGATCGGATCAAAAATCGAATTTTGGCAGTCCAAAAACGACCAAAATTTTGAGTAAAATTCGACTTTTTTTTAAAAAACGCCGTCATTTTGTCAATTTTAGATTTTTTTTCTTTATCGTAGTTCATTTTACAGACAATATTATCTAGTTTAACGAGATTTTTTTTTTAAATTCCATCCCCGTAGAAGGCCGGAATCACTGCAGCAGTGAAGGGCCTTTTTTTGTCGCGCCGTTGGAGATCGACGATAACTTAAAAAATATTTATTTTTATTCTTCAAAAATTTCACTATGTATTTTTAAAACATGTATAAATATATTCCTAAAATTTTGAAATGATTGGTAAAGTAGTTTTTTTAATATAAATTCCCAAAAATCATCTTTTTTTTAGGCGGTTACACTAGTTGTGCCCCTTAACGAAATATTCATAGTCGAGTTAATGAAACATAAAATAGGTAATATTTAGAAATAGGGTAGAACGGGTAAAAAGGTCCACCAGCGATATTTCAAAAACAAGTATAGTTAGGAATTTTTTACCAACAATATTTGAAAGTAGAGGGAAAAATTTGTATAACCAGCCATCACCTTGATTTCTTTCGCGTTGCTATCGGGAGATAAACGGCAATGTTTGAAAACATATTTTCCCTCATTGTTAGTATTTTTTGGTTGTGAGCACTGTTGTCTAGTTTACCAGACATTAATATAATTTTTTAAAATACGTTAATTAATTGCTTTATAAGATGAATTGTTAAATTTAAGTTAGATTCAACAGTCTTTTTATATATCCTCTACAAAAGCTTACACGTGGGTGAGGTAAAAAGGACCAACTGAACCTTTACCCAGGCAAAAGTGTAAACAATCAAAAACAGTAAATAAAAAAGTAAATTAAGTTAAAAAAAGAAATTGTACAGAAGATAAATTAAATAAATAGTTATTCCAACTCTACAGATAAATATTTCTGACGAAATATCAGATTGTGGTTATACAAAGTGCTATCTCTATAAAAAATGTACCCTTGAAATTTATATTTAGCATTAGTTGAATAATGTAGCTATTATTTTGTAAAATCCCTTTAAAATTAAAAATAAGATATTGGACCTGTTTGGGGTCTATGGGACATTGGTCCCATTATACCCCGCCTATGGGTGAAATAGATCAGATGACAAATTTTTGAAAAACAGCAAAATAAACACATTTCTACAATGATGAATTAGCTGGAAGTTCTACTGGGCATAGTCAAATAGTTGTTTGTTTGACGTGTTATTATTGTGATATTATTAGTGTGGTTTTCAAACATATAATTGCTCAAAGTCAAATATCACCTTTGCCCCGCCCTAACCTAATATCTATAATTTCGATGATTTTCTCGGTTTATTACACATCAGAATACTTTTTGCGTACATTATATCCACTACATCCCTTTGCACTCGTACATTGCAACGGTAAAACGTATTATGCCGCCAATGAGACAGCATACGATCGCAAAGGGTTAATAACAGATAAAAGAACATATTTCACAGCAATTTGTAATGTTTGTATATTGTATAAACTTGAAAACTCATACAATTTAGAAAATTATAAGCATTTCTGAAAAAAAGCACCGTGTTACTAATAAAAATGCCAAATAAAAATTTATAGATCTCTTAATTAACTGTGATCGTAAATTTTCACAAAGTTGTTCATTCAAAAAGCAAATATAAAATAGAAAATGTGTGACAAGATAATAAATTTTGCATAATTTATAACATAAAAAAGGGAGTATCTTATTGAGAAACTCTTCAGAGGCATAAAGACCAACACATAGTCTAAAAAGATAATGTATATTCTGATGGATTATAAATATATGTATACCGAAAAAATGTAACTTATCGTAAATAAATGTAATTTATCAGCACGAATAGTTAAACACAACATAGTTTAAGCATAGTGTGTTTTCTTAATAAAAGCTTTCGAAACATCATAGCTATATTGGGTTCAAACAACAAAAAATGTTTATGAAAAACGATTTTAAAAACGTGAATAAAATGTATTTCTATTTCTTTTTACGCTTTTTATACAATTTTAGTTTTAACGTATTTTTGCATAATAATTTGGCACCTGTCAAAATATTTTATTAGGGGGCGTCCATTGATACCGGTTTTTATGGGGAGGGGGGGTTTGACAAAAAATCACGAAATATCACGTGGGAAAAGGAGGGGTAAAGTAAGGCATCACGTGCATTTATTTTTTAACTAATTTTTTATAAAAAGTTCAGTTTTTTTTTAAAAGATTTACAGTTTTTTCAAGTAACTAAAAATACACGTGATGTTTGGTGGGGGAGAGGGGGTAATTTCGAATATCACCAATATCACCATGTATCACCAAGGCTGAGGGGAGGGTCCAAAAATCCTTAAAAACTTGCTCACGTGAATAATGGACGCCCCCTTAACAATGCAAAAATATATTCGGATTTTTTTTAAAGTCTAAAGATATATTGAGTCAATTTTTTTATACGGTGTATAGGAACCGCAATAAAAAAGTTGGATTTAAAAAATACATCAATAATTTATAAAATATCATTCAATTGAATAAAATAATTAAATTGGATCTAAACTACTTGTAAAAATATTTAATTTTAATCAAAATTATTATGTAAAATTATATTGTAAAAATATTGAATTGTCAATAAAACCCTGCATACAAAGCGTATTCTAAACTTCATTTTCATTTTCAATATCAGTGAAAACATCTTAACGCAAATAAGACAAATTTAACAAAATAAAAATAAATATAATTACTAATATGGAAAAAACGAAAAAATAACAATAATTATATTAATAAAAATATAATTATATTTTTAAAAATAAACCTTTGCAACTAGCCGTTATAGAATCATAATTATTAAAGAAGAATACAGTATTTACCGAATCAAGGTTAGCTGGATCGGCTCGTCTAAAAAGCTCAACGTCTGGTCTTTGGTGTAAACATTGAAGAAACCCGAAAAACCTGAAACAAAATCATGATTCTGTTAGATTCATAATCAGATCAATAATATTATTACACGTGTGTTCACATATATTAGGATATATTATTATTACGTATTGTGAATAAAATAATAACACTTACTGAATTTACGGATAATCATTAGATGAGAGATGAGATTATTATTAGTAAAGTTGTACGTATTTATAGACTGAATATAAATGTACTAGTTAATAATTGCTCTTATTAGTCATGGTGTATAATTCCTTTTCCATCTATATCCATTTCACTCATTCTAACATTAAATATTAATTTGCTCAAAAATTCATTGCTTTATACATATTCAAAAGAAAAGTCATGTTGATTCAAGTTTTTTTTTCATTTATCTTAAAAAAATATTATTTCAGTGAGACAGATGCTAAAACGTGTTGGAATGTGCGCGCGCAGTGATTATAGAAATCGTAAGAATTAAAGTATGAATAAAATTATTATAATGAAATAGAAAATAATTTATCTTTGCAATTTTATATTTATATAGACATAGGGCACGGCGGGGTATAAAGGTCCCATTTGATTTTCATTAATTATATTGTTTAAACCAAATGAACTTTTGAACTATCTTGAGTAAAATTCTTAGTTAATTCCTAATTACAGGAATATGTTTTTTAATATTTTTCTAAAATTTGTCATCAGTACCTTTTTTACCCAGGCGGGACAAACAGATCTAATATCTTATTTTTAGTTTTAAAGGAATTATTCGAAATAATACCTAAATTATTTTTGCAATGCAAAATACAAACTTGATGTGCACATTTTTTTTACACTGTATTTAAACCTAGTCTGGTTCTTCGTCAGCAGTATTGGAATTATTATTAATTTAATTCACTTCTTGTTAAATTGCTTCTTTTAACTTAATTAATTTTCTTATTTATTCTTTTCTTATAGTTTACAAAGTTGCCAGTGTCAGTCAACAGTTGGTACTATTTACCCCAACCACATGAGCTTTTATAGAAGTATATCTTATAAAACAATTAAATATACTTAAAAATTATTTTCAGGTATCATAAACAAAATAACAAAGCTCAAAATAAAAAAACACAAACAAAAAAAAACGTTTGAAATAAATGTTGATACATAACCTCCTGATAGCAACGTCGCACGAATTAAGGCTGGTTACACATATTTTGCCCTAGTTTGAAGTAGACTAGTATCATTAAAAAAGATTATATTTTAGTTGTTTTTGAGATAATGGTGGAAGACCTTTTTATGACGGACCTTTGAGCCCCTTACATATATTATATTACAACCTTACATATATTATGTAAGGTTGTAGCTGATCATTTGCAACATGTAACTGATCATGGACATGATCAATACTGATTATGAGCCTCAAATCGAAAAAAAATAAAATAAAATGCATTTATTGGTGCATTGCCAATTCAAAATATTTCAACATTTCAATTTCAATTATTTATTTTACTTATTTAGTTCTGTTGAACCATTCATTCTTCTTACAGAGAGTTATCCATGTACAAACGTAAATATATATCTGCTAAACACAGATATATTGATATATAGACATCGATTTTTCCAATCTCAGAAATAATGTATTACACTAACAAAAATATAAAATACTAGATAAATCTAAGACAAAAATATAAAATAATAAAAAAGAAACGGTTTTGCTCATTGGGTTGGCGATGAGTTTTCCCACGAGAAATAAAATATAATACTAAAAAATGTTTGACTATGCAGTTATAATTATACAACTATTCAAATATATTTCAAAAACATATGCATTTAAAACGTCCTTATAAACACCCAAGTCTGCTGTATAAACAAATGATCCATCCGATGGCAAATGTGTAAAAGTATTCGAATGTTCGAATCTAAAAATAGGACAAAAAGGACAAGCACGTCTAATTCCAGCAGCTGACGAAGAAACAGCCAAAACGCTTGTACGCTAGTGCCGACTGATGCACTTTTACTAATGAACTATGAGGACGAGGCTCGAAGTAAAATATAACTGCAAAGATTTCTCGTCACGTGCAGGATACAGACGCAAATATTGAGTAATAATTAAAATTAATTAGTAGTATGTGACATTGCATCTTAAGATGAACTGCTAAAACTTTCCGTCTTCTAAAAAATATTTGATAAATTTAACGCGTAATTCTCAAATAATAATATGTAGCAAACTTTATTAACGAAAAAAATAATCTATGTGTTTTAAACTATATGTTTTTTTCCTCGAACCTTTTTTAAAATCATCTTAGAATTGTACGCTGATTTCAAATATAATTTCTGTTTTTTCGTAACACCTCCTGTTTTTGAGTTTTATGTAACTATCCCTATTAGTCATTTCAGCTATGATTATCGCTGTTTAACCCTGGAACGGTATTGTGCTTAACAATTGATTTTTTTTTCGTCTTTTGTCATTGAATACTTGAATTGAATGTGATATCATAAATATTTCAGAAAATATATAACTCTGGTTTAGTAACAAATACTCTTTTTATTTTTTCAAAATTTCCATAACAAAAGTACCGTCACCATTCATTCTTGTCCGCATGTACGCCTTGGAGACGCGCAGATACCGTTCTAGGGTTAATAAATAACTAAAAACTTTATATGCTGTTTTTTGTATGGTTTCGACTTTAAGACATAATGTACATAATCGAGATAGTTTTTGTTACCTGTGGTGAATATGTTTTCTACAAATACCGAAAACCTATATAAAACTGCGTAAAGACAGTGTATTTCAACCACTTTAAAATTTATTTGCGAAATCAAGATAGGTGTCATAAGATTTTCATATTATTAGCCATAATTGCGTAGTGTGTTAACATTAACGTCCCAAAAAAAAAAAAATAAAAGCTTTAATTTCAATACCCCCGTCATTTTGAAACAACCTCAGTATCAACACGACGACTGTTTCGTCTGTGTGGTAAATATCGATGGAATAAATTCAGGCAATAGAAGCAAATGATCATACTCGATGTTCTCAATGATCTTGGAGTCTACTTACGATCAGCTATATGACCCCTATTCATGCTAATGATAAACAACCTAGAACATTAGCCTACCATGTGATGGATTAAAAGACCAACGTTAAGAGAGAATACAAGAAGAGTTTAAAGCTGATAGATTCCATAATCACCAAATTACGCAACTCATAAAAAATTCACGGTTCGTAAGTTCTATGAATAAAATCGGGAAGAAAACCAAGTAGTTATTAGTTCAGATCGTAACAAATTTTCTAGGAAACAAAAAATTCAGTAATTTAAGAACGGTTTTTGAAAAATTTGGGAGATCTAAGCAAAAAGCAGGATGAAAAGATCCACCAAGATATCAGGACCATGCAGGATATCAATGGAGGTGGGATGTCCACATTATGGCTGGCAATTGTTGGAGCTTACGACGAGATTACTTACTTGTTAGATCTTGCCCACGAACAAAGATCACATAAAAAACGCTTGAAAGTATAAAATAAATTGTTTTATTTTTTTACTTATTGGAGTTTAAACTAGCATATTGATATATCTCAAATCTAAAGCTGTTATCAAAGTCCGGTTACTTTTTTCGGAATCAGCGTCCTCCGATTACTTAAATACCATCATAACATCTCTAAAAAAAAATTACTGTCACGCAGTGTAATTGGTTGCACACCACTTCATTCTAACAATTCTCGAAAACGTAGTACGTCAAATATATAAATATAATATAATGAATAATGTCATGAAATGAATTCTATTTGCAGCTAAAAACCTTCATGTTGGCAGACTATTAAAAAAATTATTAAGACATATTTCTTCGTAACATTAAAATGCATTTATGTTGAGATAAGAAAAGTGTAAATAATTCCTTTGAGCATAAAACACGCAGCATAATAAACTGATATGACTTATTTAAATAAGGATTCATACCTATTTTACAGACGGCATATAATGAAATGCGTCCGCATATAATGTCAAAATCACGCGATGACGGCTACTGTACACTACGTGAAACAGAAATTATGGAAATTATATGAAGATTTCGTTATAAAAACATATGCGCATTTTAGCTCCGTGAATTTTCCATTGGAAAATTTCAATTATTTTGGCCAAGGCACACAAACTTACATGCACTTTTAGCAAGCAAAAATTGCACTGAATTTTGAGCTGATATTTTTCTCTTGCACAAGGTTAATGTTTCGTAAATTTCGCATAAAATAAAAACGCAAAACTAATCAACAACAATGGATATTTATCTAATTGCTTTTTAATTTAAAATATTAAGCAAAAGAATGTAAAACCTTTAACTACATAAATAATCAATTTTTACCTACGCAAATTTATATCTAACAGCTATATCTTCAATCGGTTGTTGTACGCAATTTCTTTTAAATTTATTCCTTTTATTAATTATAATCTGTCTTTATACAAAAAAAACAGACATTCGGTAATTTTAGATACATGGATAATTAACATCTACTTTGAAAAAATACTCAGTAGTAATCCTCTTAAAGATTGTTAAATAAATGAAATTGAATTGATTGTCATGATGTGAAATTACGACCTAAAATATATAATAAAAAAAATAATAATAATAAAATGAATAATTACATAAAAATATAATCAATGTTATCTCCTTATTAATTGTATTCATATTGAGGTCTTGATAAATTACGCATTTCGGTACATATTTTGGAGCGTTTATTATTTGTTTCAAAATTTTATTTTGAAACCTCTAGATTATTGAGATGTTAGACTTACGCGCTGTTCCCCAAAGTTGTATTCCATATGTCCATATGGGGTTGAGTTTGTAATAAATATAATTTTTTTTTAGAAATGGCGGTCTAAAATGTTTTCTCTTCACTGTCTCAAAAAATCATAATAGAGATTATTATCGATTTTTTTTAAAGATGGAGACGGATTCGATATACATTTGCCCTATTCATTGTGCCAAACTCTTTAGAATAACTTAAAAAGTAAATAAAACAATATGATGATTTTTTCGGATGAATATTAATTACCAGATTA